TCTCTCTCTCTCTCTCTCTCTCTCTCTCTCTCTCTCTCTCTCTCTCTCTCTCTCTCTCTCTCTCCCCACGTGACCAAAAGATGGACAGTGCAAAACGGGTATCTGTGTTTTTCAATTTCTTTTTTTTTCGCAGAAGAATGTCAATTTTTTTTTTTTTGTCTTTTTTTTTTCTTCCGATGTGTTCCAACCGGTAGCTCGAGGCTCGGCAAGGTTTGGGATACCGGTAGGCTGAGCCACGGGCCTTAACAACCGCGAGGTACTGGTGGTTTAATGAAAGCAATGAAAAAATAACAATGAAAAGTATTTGTTCTTGAGGAGGCAAGAAACAAATCTGAGCGCAATGGCACCGGAGCAGAACACTGTAGAATACAGCGTTGCCACAATCTCCAGCTATTAACGTGTCCAGCTTCATGCGCCTCCCTCCCTCTCTCTTCCCGTCGACCCCTGCTCTCGCTCTAGCTCTCCAATGAATGATTTCTCGCTGGGCATATGGCCATTAATTTCCCAAACAGGTCTTGATCTTGGCTGCCGATGTTCCTGTTTTTCTGTCTCCTACTGCAAGTGTCTTTGAAGGCTGACTCCCTTCTATGCTTTCCATTTTGGTTTCTGATCTTCATGGAGCACTTTGGAAATCGCTGTGCACCAATACTGACGCTCTATTGTTGTCGTATGTTGTTGCATCGACATTTGTGGTGACGTAGAGGGACTGAAATTATCTAACACAGTGGGATGACCCAGCCAGTCTTTGCTGTTGAACAACTATGCCACGTCCCTGATATAGGTGTGAATGGGGCACCATTCAGCCTCCAAGATGCTGCAATTTATGTTATTGGAGCTCCCAGCTGTGACAGCTGTGGCATCCACCCTCGAAAATGACAAAAATCAGGGACATCGCCCATTCTGTGCGGATCACAAACATACGTTGCAAAAAGAGAGTGTATTCAAAATGTATTCGTGGAAGAGACGACAATTTTCATTGTGTGTCAGGAATAGAGTCCTGAGCAGAAGGAAGAAGGGGAAGGGAACCTTGTTGGTAGTGACCATGGCAGTAATCCAGTTGACATGCTTTCTTTCCCTAAATTACTTTCGAGTGTTAGTGAGATCAGACCACAGCCCCAGATGTGCAGACTCATCATATCAGACCCGTACCTATGCTATTGTTGTGGTTTTCTATACCATCCCAGGAGGGCACACGAAGATGGCATGTCCACAGGGGTGTGCTCTCCTACGTGGAGGTTAAACGCCGACTACATCGAGTGGGCCCACTGCCTGGGGGAAGTAGGAGTATGTACTTTACTGTCACTAACAGGCTTGAATCAGATGTATATGTTTAAGTTCTGTAGCACCCCGACCTATGTGTGATGCATAGTCTCCTATTCTTACATGGGCTTGTGTGCTATCCCACAAAAAGAGGCAATAAGCACACATAAATTGAGGTTTGGAGGTATCCATCGTCTTAGGGGCTGCATCTTAGATGTGAAAATCTCAAATTGCTGAAGTATTATTTGAATTTATTTCGTGTGCCAGACCCTTGATGGTGCCCGTCCTACATGCTGAACTCTGAGCCACTATGCATTGTAAATGATTTGTAAAAATGAGTAGTTTGATGTATTGATCTGCTTCTGATGCTGGACACTCTGGACGCCCTTTGTCTAAGTGATACCTTCTCAGTCTGTTCATCGTTGACTCGCTCAGTGTTTGAGTTGATTAGTTAGGAAGCTGGAGTTTGTGCTTTGTGGGTTTTGTGTTGTGTTATTTTGACCTACAGATGCGTGCTACCCCTCCAACCATTTCCCTTTGGAATACTTATCGTCTCTTAGCAGATCCTTGCTACTCCTACAACCATTTACCTTTCAGACCTACAGATGAGCCAAGCCTTATCGTGTATTATTATAGCCTGGAGGAGTATTGCTTTCCTGTTGCAGCAAGGTCTCATTTCGTTGCGTTGAGCAAGCCGGGCCTGAAATGGTGCTTTTGCTTGCTTACCGGCAATCACGTCTCCGTAGATGGGTGTTTTCCCTGTTTTCGAGAGGGTCCTTGTAGTGCTCAGATCTGCTAGTAGCTCTTGCATCTTGACAACCTGGACTGTGCTTGAATGTGCTGGGGCACAGGTGCAGCAGTTGTTTCAGAAAGATATGCAGACCATTACGCCCGAGGCGATTGAGGGTGTGAAGGCAGCGCTGGCAAGCAGTGAGGCGGAGCAACCAACGCACCCAAAGAAAAGGGCAGTTCCTCGAAAAGCAGCTGGATTCATCTGGGAGGATCCGACCCTTGCTGATTGGCCTGATAGTGAGGAAACAGCCCCTTCTCATGCCTCTCTGCTTTCCTGTTTGGAATTGCTCATCGAGTTCGGACGAGTTCAGTCCTGTTAAGGCTGATCAGCTTTTTTTTTTTTTTTTTTTTTTATCAGCTACAATAGCTGGTGCTGTGGTTGTTGTTGCTGTGGGTTATTCTGAAGCGTTAAAGCTGTTATGGTGGGAGGATGAAGCCTACAAGCACTTAAAAAAAAACTTTTATGTTTAGCAACGTAAGGGATCCTTTTTTTTCTTGGGGGGGGGGGGGGGGGGGGGGGGGGTGGGTGTCCTATACTGCGGGGACTGTTTTGAAGGATGAACACCCCCCCCAAAACAAACCCCACAGTGTGGAACTGCTTCTGCAAAGAACTGAAACAGGTTGAGCAGGGGATGACCTTTCCCGAGGGGGAAAGGGCAAGGGAAGAAAGGGCAAAGGAAGAATGAATTGGTCGGCAGGGTCATGGAAGGAACTGAATTGAAGGTAAGGAGATTCAGATGACGAGTTAGTTACAGAAAGGCTGGTAAAGCAAGGTGGATTAAGTGGGTGAACTGGAATGCAAGATGTTCAAGATGCTGGAAAACAAAGATTCCGCAAGAAGTTAGTTCACATGGAGAGCATGTGTGCGCTTGATGTTTTCTTCGGTGGTCGGTACAAATCAAGCGCAAACATGCTTTCTCCGGATGTTGAGAGCATGTTTGCACAGGAATGCAAGATGTTCAAGATGCTGGAAAACAAAGATTGCGCAAGAAGTTAGTTCACATGGAGAGCATGTGTGCGCTTGATGTTTACTTTGGTGGTCGGTACAAATCAAGCGCAAACATGCTTTCTCCGGATGTTGAGAGCATGTTTGCACATGATTGCTACCAACCGGTGACGAGTAAGCCAAACAATCTCCGACTAGCTCTGGCCATGGTACATTGCCAAAGCATTCAACCTACTCCGACTAGCTCTGGCCATGGTACATTGCCAAAGCAGTCATCCTAACTTGTCTGGCACTGGTGGTGATTGTATCGCATGACTATGAGCTACAAAGCTGACGATGTAGGCAGAAGAAGCAGATGAACATAACATAACTGATGAACAGGGAAGCCCAAAAGTCAAAACTTGTGTGCGAGCGCACACCCATCATTAACCCTCTACAGCATTGTAGAATCCAGATCGAGAGGACAGGAGCAAAGTTCATGTCATCCTTGCGCAGGGGCCATGCCAATCTTCTCTGTATCGTTTCAATATTGGCAGCTATCCGGAAGAACAGGACAGCAGCAAAGTAACAACCGACTACTGGCCCTTCTTCTTTGACAGCATGGTTGGCAGAGGGATTACTGCACGAACTCCCTTTCCAAATGATGGTCAGCATGAGAGTTTGCAGCAGTAATTCTCACACTGATTCATGCTCCATTGCAGAGTTTGTCTGTTGGGTCTGTCTTTGTCTTGACAATGTCTGAAGCTCTTGAAGCTTATACCAGTACATGCTTCTCCTCTGCAGGTTCGGTCTTATGATGTGAGTGATCCAATTTACCACTGAACTGTGGTACAAAACCAGATCGCCCCAAGGAAGCAAGCTCTCAAGGAACATCTGGCTAGTCGGTTGACCTGTGTGCTCCATTGCAGAGTTTGTCTGATGGGTCTGTCTTTGTCTTGACAGTCTCTGAAGCTCTTGAAGCTTATACCAGAACATGCTTCTTCTCTGCAGGTTTGGTCTTATGATTTGAGTGATCCAATTTACCACCGAACTGTGGTATAAAACCAGATCGCCCAAAGGCAGCAAGCTCTCAAGGAACATCTGGCTAGTCGGTTGGCCTGTGTGCCTTAGGAGTTTAGCAACCTGGTGTTATTTTGAGAAGCTGTGGGCTAATCCGGAGAAGGTTGGGTGGGAACCAAGAATGTGTTTTTAAGACTTTGCACATAGCTGCAGTCCAGATGAGCCTAAAGTACCTCTTCTGTTACTCATGAGGCCTTGTCTGATACTAGGTCGTCAGCGGCGTGAATGGACTACATATAATGCCAACTCTGTAAGTCCTGATTGTTACAGTCTGATTTGTAAGGCCCATATGGAACATGTAGCTGATTACTGTCATTCAGCAATATGTCACTTTGAAGGATATTGGATGATTATCAGGTGTATTTCTCATGTTTGCATTTTTCTCGTTGTCTTTCTGGGAAGCTTATGAGTAATTTGAGAATCAAATCCATTGTAAGGGGAAGGACATAACAGGCGATTGGGTTGCCGTCTTCTTTCTACCAGATGATCATCGATTATTTTGTGGAGACCTAGGAAACGAAGTCAATGATGAAGTTCTAACCAAGGCATTTGCAAAGTACTCTAGCTTCAACATGGCTCGGGTACGTATCATCAAGGCCCTCCTGCCTTCTCCCCTTCCGATATGCACATACCCGCACACAGATGCACGTTGGTCCACACAAACCCACACAAACCCACACAAACCCACACAAACCCACACAAGCTTGCTCACACTATCCCACGCAAGCTCACACAAGCCCAGACAATCTCACACAAGTCCAGGCAAAACCCCACAAATCCACACGAAAACGACACCAAGCCACAGTAGCCACACAAAACCACACTAAACGACACAAAGCCACTCAAGAACATGCATATGTTGGGCAGACATATTCCACTTACTACAATTTGCAAGAGCACTGACGCTCTCACTACTCATCCTAGACTCATTATGTAGTTATCTTCATCACGTGATGGCAAGGCAACTGCCCTTTCACTTTGCTGTCTCGCGCTTGGAATGCATCCACCCCCAACTGTACTTGAACGCTAAGGGCTCTGTCAACCATGATCTTCTCAGGTGTTCAGCTACGCCCCGCAAGGGATTCTGGGTCCAGCAGATGACCACCCTGTACCCTTGGGGGTCCAACAGCGTCTTCTCACAGGGATGGTTACCATGTATCAGACAGCCTCATCCGTCAAACAGGTGGGTGCGCTCTCGAGGCTGGCTGAATCCTCCACGACCTGCCCTTCTGATCAAACTCCTTAGGGAAGGCTGTTCTCAATTGACACTGCTTCTGACCCTCACTGTGCTGTGCGCTTGGCCTTGCATCATATGCTTGCGCAGGCAGCTAATTTGGATTCACAATATATTTCTCGTATGCTCTACCAGGGCATGCCTGCTCGGCGCTCACGCTTGTTGCAGTTACTTTGGACAAATATTTCAAATGCTTACATCTACTGGAGTGCCTGATCCGTGATGTGCAATATTTGTGTTGACCATACTCGAGCCCTGATCAAGATAGGGGCCCATTCTCTAACTTACAGAGGTCGTACACATGCATCAGGTTGCTTGGATTACACAATTTTGGAGCGTTCTGCGGTTACCAGAGGTCATTGGATTACACCCATGACCTCCTCTTGCCATAGATGTACACATCTATGATAAGACGGTGCCTGCTCATTCGCGCCATGATCTGCAACTTGATGGCAGTGGCGCTCAGTATAACTCGCAATATGGGTCCTATGGACCCTAGCAAATATTCTTGCTGACAAGCATTTCCGCATTGTGCTTATCTTGTTGGTCGCCGTGTTGGCACCGCAGGTTATGGCATCATACAGCACTCACATTCGAGGGCTCAAAGTGTCTCCTCAATTGCGAGGCCATGGATGTCAAGAAGTTGCTGAGGCCCGCTCTGGAGGAATATAAGTTTATTGCAGCTATAGGATCAGCATTCATCATTGAGTCCGTAATTGCTGTCAGTCTTTCCTGGTCGAATCAGATTCCTTTGCCAACAGAATCATCTCCATCTCTATGTACCAGGCACCCACCCAGACTTTCTTCACGGGCTGCCTACGCATGGGCTTGCACCATACTGGGACCATTATTACCCATCTTATTGGGACCACCTTCATATTGTGAGCACCGTACTAGGACCATTATTTCCCAGCTTACTGGGAACATATCGGGACCATTGTCCAGCTCTGGTAGGTTGACAACGTAGGAAAACGGGTGCAACACCCAATAATGGACCTTGGGGCCTTGCAACTAACTACTCGTGGAATGGGAAAAGTCATGAGTGCATCTGCACACAGAAGGTCACAAGGCACATCCACTACGATTTATAAAAGCATATGGATCTTTCCAGTGTCTGTGTGAAGGTGCACTTGCCAATTATGGGAGGCCCTTAGCTTACTGAGTACCTGTGGTGGGGGCTACCGCCAAAAGAATGATCAGAAATAACGGTCTGAAAGAAGAATCCATTTCGACTACCTTGAAAGAGGATTCTCAAAGGTCTTACTGGGGCGAGGTCCCACTTTGAGGATTAGAATATGAGTACCTTCCAGAAACTGGTGGAAGTCAACTTGGAGGTTGTGTTTCGGATGTGCTGGCCTGCCTGTGCCTCATCCAATACATATAAATGATTAAAAAAGCTGATTCTGGATGTCTTTGCTTGACGATTACGAATGTTTGGGCATGTTTGTTTTTTGAGTTTTCTTTAATGGAAATGAACTCACAATCAGGGCAGCCTTTGCAAAGTCATCCGTCAGTGCCATGCACACACTTCTGATCCTCCGTCACTTCTAATTTCGTTATTGCAAGAGCTCACCTCTGTTCGGCTGATATAACCTTGCACTGTCGGCCCTGTATGACCATGGCCTTCACAGTCATTTGCTGATTGTGTGTGCCCTTCGACTATCACCCACTGACCACGGTGCCTTATGAACTCTACTATCAGATTATCATTCTCAGTCGTGCCTTATGAACTACACTACTAGATTATCATTCCCATTCACAAGGTAGCTGGCCGCGGCTGACTGGCCACATATCGTTAGATTATGCCAGCTGCTGCAAAAAGGCTCACTGCTGTTTGCCATTCCAGGTGTGAGCTTATGCTGCAGCGGACTGGCCACATACTTTTACTGGTCACTTGTTGCCTTTGGAACACAACCCCTTGTTCGAAAGGTAGCTGGCTGAAAGCATGGTGCTGTGTCTCCAATCGTAAGCCACAGGGTTCTTGTTGTGACTGGTTGCTGCGTGGATGGGGTGGTGTTTTGGTGGTGTTTGGGGCCGATATGTTGGTACTGTCTGTGCTTTCGTTTGCCCAAAATTTCCGTGTTTAGATTTTTCTTGTGTACTGAGGGGATGAGGAGGATCATTGCAAGAGGAGTTTGGGAGGGTAATTTGCAGCTGTAGGTCATTCAGATGGCGTGCATTACACATGCAGACTGCCTATAGATTAGTCCAAGTTGATACACACCGGTCTGGACAGAAACTGATGTGTGTGTGTGTGTGTGTGTGTGTGTGTGTGTGTGTGTGTGTGTGTGAGAGAGAGAGAGAGAGAGAGAGAGAGAGAGAGAGAGAGAGAGAGAGAGAGAGAGAGAGAGAGATGTTGCCAACAACTGCAATTCTCTTCCAACCAGTGATACCGTGTTTATGATGGAATCAATCCCTACACTTATAAAAATCTCTAACGTGAGAAATCTGCAATCTGGGCCGTCCTGGTCCTACGGGCCCGACGGTTCGGATTGTCACCCAATCTTAAGACTTTAAGATCGCTCGATGATCTAGGCCGTCCATGGTCCTACTGGCCGACTTTAAGATCGCGCAATGATCTGGGCCGTCGGCTTGGTACCAGTTGGTCAACGGCCCAGATTAGAATTTCACAGTGCAACTGAAGTTAGGGCTGCCAGGCGTGGGGAGAAACAGGTTCCAGGTGGGCCGGTCTCCTATAGGGCGGAGAGGTTTGGCCCTCACGGATATCTTTGGCGGCGCACGGATCCGGTGTATAGCGAACGAGACAACGTGCACTCACACGGCCGCCCGCGCACTCGCTCGAACAAGAACATGCACGAACAAGAACATGCACGAACACACACACACACGCACGCACACACATGCACGCACATGCACAAACACACGCACAAACACACGCACATTTACGCACACACACAAATGCGTCATGGGCAGACTGTCACAAACACACGCACATGCACGCACATGCACGCACACACACAAATGCATCATGGGCAGACTGTCAGGGTTCAACCTCCTGACGAGTTGGTGAAAGTGCAACAAAAAAGTCTGGCACTGTCGGGCTTTTTTTCGGGGGGTTCACACAACACGAACTGTGGGTGGGTGGGTGTGCGTGCGCGCTAGAGAGAGAGAGAGAGAGAGAGTGAGAGAGCTCCCCACCATGACGGCGCTGACTGATGGAAATGAGGATGAAGACGTCGATGAAGATGAAAGATAAGAAGCACTATTTGCGAGGACAAGGTAAGATGATAATGACGTCGGGAAAGGGGGCCGAAACAGGCTATGGTGGTTTTGTTTTTTTTTCCTACTCACTCTGATCGCAAAAGGGAGACGAAGCGACGAGAAGGGAGGACGAGGAAGAGGAGGGGGAGGGGGAGGACGAGGAAGAGGAAAAGGAACTCGAGGAGGAGGAAAAGGAAGGCGAAAGCTTAAGGGAGGGAGGGTAGGGAGGCAGAAAGAGATGGAGCTGGAGGAGGAGAAAAGGGAGGAGGAGGACAAAGGGAAAGGACGAGAAGAGGAGGGGAAAGTACAAGAGGGAAAGGAGGGAGAATAGGAAAAGTTAGGGGGAAAGTCGAAGTGGTGCAGGGGGGATGCTAAAGGTGCGAAATCACACCACATGGCTGCGCCATGTGGCGCAGATTTTTTTGTTTTTTTTTCTTTTC